AGAATATAATATTTATAATTTATTTATATAATGATATAAAATAAATTTGAAAAACGCATCATTCGCTCAAGTGACACATTCGCTCAAGCGAAAAATACCAATTTTCGCTCAAGCTAGGCTTGAACGAGTGAATTTACGTGAGCTTTAACGTATTTTCACTCAAACGAGAGTCAATCTCACTTTCACCCTCGATCGCGCTCTCACATCCAACATAAAAATATATAAATATATTTGTATTTATATATTTACACGGATATATATTTATTTGTATATAAATATAATTTATTTGTAAATTATTATCAAAAAATTATAGTAGTTTAGTGGTTGGAGTATTAATTTTCAACTCTAAAATACTATATTCGAATCCTATCGGTGACAATTCTCTAACGTAAGTGAATTTTTCTTGAAAAAAATAAAAACACTTTCCAGAAAATATATATAAATAAATATATATTTACACGGATATATATTTATTTGTATATAAATATAATTTATCCGTAAGTTATTATCGGAAAATTACAGGTAGTTTATTGATTGGAGTATTAGCTTTCAATTCTAAAATACTAGGTTCGAATCACGTCGGTGACAATTCTCTAACTTAAGTAAATTTTTGGTTGAAAAAAATAAAAACATTTTCCGAGAAAATATAAATAAATATATATTTATACGGAATATATATTTATTTGTATATAAATATAATTAATTTGTAAGTTATTATCGAGAAAATTACAGTAGTTTAGTGATTGGAGTATCAACTTTCAATTTTAAAGTACTGGGTTCGAACCCTGCCAGTGACAATTCTCTAACTTAAAAGAATTTTTGGTGAAAACACATTCAACGTCGGTTCATCGAGGAACCGACGTTGAATGTCACAAAATGACATTCAACGTCGGTTCGGATGAGCCGAGCGTTGAATGACGACGTTGAAAGCATATTTTGTAGTAGTGAATATTGATGTATTCTCGCCTTCATAAAGAATCCAACGTGCAAGTAGCATATCATGTCCATGAGTTTGAGCCAAGTTACAATATAGTCAAATATTTCATTCATTTAAGGTAAAATCTTGATGTTGATTAATCCTTACTTTGTGTCATATATGTGTTGAGAAAACTTATAATCTTGGATAGACAAATATAACTTCAGATACTAGAAAAAATAATTCACCTTGGAAGGTTGACCTAGAAAGTTATAAAACATTAATTTAGACTTGGCATTAAAACCTTATCTTATATTTTGAGAGGAAATTTTGCAACTTTTAAGACATTAATTATATTAAATTGAATTATTTTAATTTTAAATTGTTTAATTCTTTAAAATAATTTGTTTGGATAAGATAATTTAAAGTTATTTATTATAAATTTTTTATTTGGATAAAATATTAATTACTATCAAATACAAAAGTTAAATATGTCTAAATTTGTCAATTAGTCCTAACTTATATTACTTGACCTTCAACCACATAAATTAGGTTTGTCTGAGACAACCATGATATTTTAGATTAAGTTAAGTTAGATAAATACATATAAAGTTGGTAAGGTTAAAATGGATTGAGAAGATTGATTAAGGTTGTATGAGTAAGGTTGTGTTCGGTTGAGTTAGTCTCCATTAGGATAAATTAAGATAAATCAGATCTGGTAGAGAGAAGTAAGGTTAAGAATGAGTTGCCTATGGTCAAAATAGATCAAGGTTGATAAGAAATGGTTAAGCTAGATTAGGTCGGATCAAGTTGGGATGTGTTAACTTGATTAGACTAATTCATACTTATTTGGGTTAAATGATTATGAAGTGAGTTCAGTTATGTTGAGATAGATTGAAACACCCCAAGATAAATAAAAATGCCTTAATAGATATTGAATTAAAGATAAAATATGGAGAGAAGAAATATAATTCAAAAAAATATATAATAAAATTTTAAATTTTTACTTTTTTTTTCTAATTTTAATTAATTAAATTATTATTATAAATTCTTATAATTTTAATTTATTTCAAAATTCACTATCTAAATAACTTATTTTATCTTGAAACATATAATATTTTATGATAAAATAATTAGTCTAAAGAAATTTTCTATCCAAATAAGGGAATACCATGTAAATTTTATGTTAGGTTTTACTACTATTTTACTTTTATAATAAAATATCTAGAGATAAATGACATCATTTCAAAACCTAGTTTAACTTGAATAATTTTGTTCCCCTTCCTTAAAAAAAAAAGCATAAATGCGTTAAGTGGTAACTAATATGATTGCTTGGTTTTTACATGGTCTCTTCCTTTTTTGAAATAATAAATATTCTTTTATTTATTTTTCATATAAATAGCTATAATTGAGATAATGAAATCATTTTGAATCTATAATATGACGAGGAAATGAAATTTAATGTTTATGTGATAAAAACTATATTACTCTTGTGTTTCAATGAACTTCTTCCCCAAACATTTCTCAAGGGAGAAATTCAAAAGGAAAAATAAACATTTCTCTTAACTTAATCATTAGTGCAAAAAAGATGAACGACGATATTTTTTTACGACAGTCATTTAGGATTTGTTGTCGAAGGCGACGCGGTAACATTTTAAAAATAATCACCAATTATAACAACGAGTGTTTAATAATCATTCTTCTAAACAACGACGGTTATTAAACACCCATTGTTGAATGTTGATGATAATAGTTATTTGACGATGGTTGTTTATTAACCGTCGTCGTATCTTATTCCCGCTCACCCTCTTCCCTCATTTTCATCGTGCTCCTCCTTCCTCCTCCATTAGTTCGTTGTGCTCCTCCCTCTCACCCTCTTGTTGCCTCTCACCATGCTTCCTTCCTCTCATTGTGATGTGCGTTGTGGTTGATTCGTGAGCAACCTATGTTGTGGTTCGTGGTGGTCCCTTGTTTCCCTCTCGTGAGAACTCATTTTTCCTCTCTAGTAAGTAATTGTTATGACTTGATTAATGTATAAATTGATTAACTGTTTGCATTGTGATTATTAATATTGATATTTGATTTTTTTTTTAACAAATTTGTGTAGAGTTTGAGAATATTCGATCCTTAACAAATTATATTCTTGACTGAGTTATATAGTTGTATATGCATTACAAAATCTAGAAATAGACAAAAGTTGGATTAATTGTGTCTACATAACTGATGAGTATGAGAAATGAGTGAATTTTTTTATTATTATTTGTACATCAAAACACTTCGACTAGTTCTATTCGTAGAAGATTTAGATGTCCATATGTTAATTGTCGTAATGAAAGATTATTAAATATTGAGAAAATTAAGGGGCATTTTTTATGTGACAATTTCTTGAAAATTATACAATTTGGACATGACATGGTAAATTATTAAATTTGTCATGTGTAAATGAATCTGATGATTTAGTTGATTCAACTATGGATGATCGACTGAAGGGCATGATTCGTGATGTTGGAGTAAAATATTTTGCTCAAGCGCATATGTATGAAGATATGTGCAACGATGCAGCTGGTTCAACTAACTTCACATAGTTGTCAACAGTGTTAAGATTGGTAAATTTGAAGACAATGAACAGGTGGACTGATAAAAGTTTCATTAAATTGCTTCAATTGTTGAAAGATATGCTTCCAGAAGGAAATACACTACCCAATCATATTTATGAGGCAAATGAATTATAAAAAAAATACATACATGTCCTAATGATTATATTTTATATAGAAATGAGTTTGAAGAGCTTAAAAAGTGTTCAATTTGTGGGTTATTTCGTAACAAAGTGAAGGATAATAATCAAGACAGTAATGATGACATTACTATTGGGGGACCCTTATCAAGTCTATTTGGTATCTTTCTATGGAGTAGCTTCACTAAAGTCATATTCCTCATCTAGTGATCCTAGTCAAGAGTATATACATAATCTCATAGCACAATTAAGGGAGGAGATTAAAGATGAGTTAAGGGAGGAGCTTAGATAGGAGGTCACAAAGATTCTGACACAACTTGTGGCATTAGTTGCTGGGTAATCCATGTATGAATCTAAGTCCCACATTGAGTAAGAATGAAGAAGTTGAACAACATATAAGAAACTATGACCCATAACTCAATGCCTTAAGGTTTTGGGGTTGAGAGTGGTGTCAATATCGTATATGTAATGTCTTAAGGTTTTGGGTTGAGAGTGATGTTAATCTCTTATGTGAGTTGGATTCATATCTCATTGGTATTATTTCTCCCCAATAAGTCTCCCCTCGAAAGATCTAACAGTAGTTTGACCAGCTATTTATGAGCCTAGGGCCCTCCCAACAAGCAACTACTGAGGAAGGATACAAACCATCCTATCTTTCATGATTGGGAAAATTCGTGATAGTAATGTTATTGTACTTATGACAATAGATGAGGTTGTTATTGTGACAACCACTTCAAACTTTTATTCCCTAGCCTAAATATTTAGTTAGACCCATATCAGACACCACAATATAAGAATAACAATCCTACATTTGATTTTTTACTTATTATAATTTTTTTAATATTAATGTTATTTATATGTAGTCACGATGCCAAAAAGATGGGAAGAAGAAGAAATAATATATTCTTAGTGACCCTTTGTCTTCATTGTTAGATGTTGTCAGGGTCATTAGTACCAATCTATGCCATAAGATTCTACCCTAATTTTAATTTTCGAAAATAAAAACTAGATTACTCATTACCATGTTTAAATGAACTTTTCCTTAAACATTCATGGAGGAAGAAATTTAAAACGAAAAATTAAATAACCTTCTCTCTATATATATTAAAATTAATTCATGCTTCACTTAATATTAGATTTTTCAAAATTAGATTTTTCACTTATGCATAAATTTATTTTAGTTTATGAAGAAAATTATTTCATGCTTTTTCTCTTATTTTCTTCATATAGAAATGTTTATGGAAAAATTTACCCAAATATATCTTATCAGTGATTAAAGTACATATAACTCTTCCAAGATGCTAACCTAACCAAAACCACTCACACGCACTCGAGTTGAAGAAGCTAAATTCATACAATTCTCAACTCTTTTAGCCATTGGGAATGCAAAGGGCATGGGTCTGGCTTGCCTTGGGCCATAGCCTTCTCAGAGAGAGAATAAAACCAACCATTCCTCCATTTGAACTGCAAGTATAGCCAACATAATAATTTATATATCGAAGTTATCTCGTGAATCAAATATTCATTGCACTAATTCTATCATTTTACCTCCTTAACTGCTGTGGGAAAGTGGGCTACAGCTCGGGAATATGCACACAACCTCTCTTCCATTGCTTCTTCAAATGTTAACCCCTTGTCACTTGCTGCTGCTGATGCCAGTTCTGTTATAAGACTAGACAACTGAAAGTGCAAACATAACTCAGTGTTCTTCTTTCTAGTATTGAATATATATGTTTGATAAAGAAAATCTATGTAAAAGTTGATTTCACCCAAAACTCATACTCAGCCATTTGGACCTACTGATTTGTAACCATACTAACACAAAGGAATTGATAAAGATCACTTTGAAGATCCAAAAGAAGAAATCCTATGCACAATAATAGGAGGGAGGGGGCTACTTATAGAAGTTGCCATCTATGTCTTAAATTTTAGCTTGATACTAGTTGACAATCATCGAAATAATCCAACAAATATATAAGTCATATCTCGATAATTAAGACAAGAGATGCGAGATTCTCTCAAACAATTCCTTCCACAAAATGCATATTACAATAGATAATGAGGCTAAGAAAAAGTAAGACTTTAATACCATACTGTCTTTCTCAATTTTACGAGTATACTCATATATCTATTAGACCAATTCTGAATTGATTTTAAGTTAAAAACTATAACAGAACATGTTAACAGCAGAGTTTTAATCTGATCGTGTACATGCTGATATACTGTCTTGTAATCAAAATGTTATTGATTAACAGAATAGTAAATTTGCTTTGAGACTATGCCGATTGCAAAGCATGCTTACTTCATTGCGGAATTCCTTTTCCACAACACCAACAGAAACCCCACCATGGCGTGCTCCAACAAGCATTACGGAGCATATCCATATAAGCTTCTCCAGCATCTGCTTTTGAAACTCCTCCTTGTTAAGAACCTGGTTTTTGAGACAAACATCAGCGTGTGATATATCATCAGATGTGTAAACATTTGCTTTTGACACACAACAAGGAAATCTTGTAAGTTCAATCTCATGAGAATCAAAACACTTAAATCTCCCAAAAACAAAAAGAAGCCGCACAAATAAATTTTTCTTTAAATACAAAATGAAGATTAAATCCCAATTTTAGTCCACCAATTTGTGAGATGCTGTTTGCAGTATCTGGAATTAGAAAAATGTAAACTTATGAAATTAAAATCTCTGTCGTTGTAATCCCTTTTTTTGCAGAACTTATTATCATTATAGTCGGTAAATAGATCCGTCACTAATAGATTTCAATTTTCAGGGATTTATTTCCTTTTTCTTTTTTCCAAATTCAAGAACTACTAGGACACCCCTCACAAATTCAGGGATAGAAAATGAGAATTTACTCAAACAAGAAACCCTACAAAGATACGACAGTGAATATCATTTTAGATGTTGACATTGTAAGAAGTTGAAAATAGAAAAATGTGAAAAAAGATCTTGGAAATCGAGTTCCTTAGTCACATATCCTGACTGTATGGAGTGTGATGATATTTTGTTGCAAAATTCAGTAACATAATAAATGACAAGTATGTAGTATATATCATGGCCAAAATTCAAGGATTCATCAGACATAAATCTAATTTCAGTAGTAGTATGAGAACAATGGTAGCTTAGTTTAGTCATAAATATCATGCATACCTTGCAAGAGAGGCCTCCAGCATTTAACCTGGCAGCAACAACAGAGGCCCACTTTCCATATGCAGCAGTGAGGCCTTCAGGATTGGTGTCAGTGATGCCATCAATAGGGGGCTCTCCAAGTTTCGACACAGCAAAATAAGCCAACACCTGGTTTGCATCACCCAAGCCTTTGCTCTGAAGCCACGGCTCCAGCATTCCATTCTGGAAGAACACCAAATCTGAAAAAACAACACCAAATGATTAACAGTGAAACTGTTAGGAGTCCTACAAAATCTATCAACAAAGTCAAACAACAATGCGCGACACGGTGAGAGGACTCACCATCCCATCTGGAAGAAGGAGTGGATTGAAGCACGGCTTCAAGATCATCGTTTCTCGTGCACACCAAAATGGGACCCTCAAAGTTCAGTGGTACGGTCTCTCCGCGGCGAACAAGGAGGTCTTGTCCGCTGCCCATGTCCTGCAGGGCCTGCCCCACTCTTCCACCGCCGACAATGACGGCGGGAGCCACCTTGGTGGCGGAGGCGGTCACGGTGGTGGCGGAGGCGGATACTTTGAACGTGAAGGTAGAGGTTGTGGGGAAAATGGGGAAGGAGAGGGAAGTAGCCATGGCCATGGAGGAGTAAAAAGTGTCAGCAGTTAAAGTGAGTGAGGAACATGGACAAAGACAAAATCAACTTTTTTTTTTTTTTTTGCGGTGTTTGTTTCATACACAAGTTACACCACACGTATGGTTGTTGTGGGAAGCTCTATCCTCCAATTGTTGTTTTTTCTATGGTGATTATATATATATATATATATATATATATATATATATATATATATATATATATATATATATATATATTTTTAATTTAATAATTTATTTATTTTCAAATAATGAATTATTTTATATATATCGATAAAAAATTTAAAAATAATTATATCAAAGAATAAAAAGAAAAGAATATATGTCCACAGGCCTTTTCTTACCAATTTCTTTATATTTTAAAAAATAAGCTAAAAACATGATTATAAATAAAACTAATTTTTTTAAAAAAGTAAAAATAAAATTATATAATATAAGATAGAAATGAACAAAATATATATAAAAAAGTGATTTCACTAACAATCTATTTTATAAATAATATAGTAAATATGTATATAAATGATAAAAATATTTTTTTAAGAGAAAGTCAATTCTTAAATATATATATATATATATATATATATATATATATATATATATATATATATATATATCATGTTGTATTTTTAATAGTCCAATTTCAGTTTGAAATGTGAAATTAATGTTCACTACACATGTATATACAAGTATTTATTTTTGTTAAAATGTGAAATTTAGTTTGAATTGGCATTTGATTCATTATATGAATCATATGTATAGATAGAAAAAGTTAACAAATTTACTAATTCCTAAAATGGTTAGTAAAATAAAACCAACTTTTTTAACCCATTATTTCTGAACAATACAAAATATTGCTAAATGATATTTTTGTATAACTCCATTATAAAAAATTTAAATAATTTGTAAGAGGAATTAAAAGGAAAAGAAGCAATAAAAGATGTTCATCGTCTCACGAAAACCAATTGCTAGAAGATAAAGGATAACTTATATCATCACATTTGGTTCGAGAAATAAAAGACTAAATTGTATTACTCTCTTTCGTGAGATATATTGTGTTTTTATTAAAATAACTTTTAAAACTAAATTATTTCAGCAATTAATCGTATATAAATGATTATTTTGATATGCTATTTTGTAGAAAAGTAATTTTACAACCATTAATTTCGTCTAGATATAATTTAATTGTGAAAAAAACGATTCATTATTGTTTGTTCAAATTTATCATATTTTTATTTTTAGCTCGTCAAAGTTTTTTAAATTTTTTTGCGGTTATCATTTTTAGGTTCTATGTTATGTAAACTTCAGCTATTCACTCAGTCATGATATTAAGTAATCTATCACATATATGAAGACACAACCATGTGTAATTTTTTGATTCAGAAATTAAAAGTGACAAATAAGAACAAATTGGTAAACATGTCAAATTAAGGATGAAAACCAGAAATCAACAGATAGTTAAGAAACATATATATACAAGGTCTAAAACAGGACAAATAGTTTCAAAACAAACAAACTCATAAAGTTGAACTTTCCATAAACAGAGTACTGCAAAAACTATTACACTTCGTGTTGTGTGCTCTGATAATCCTGTTATGAATACAGAGATCTTGTTGGTGGTCATTGCTCTATACTGACCAGAGAACAATGAATGTTTAAGGTAGTGAGAGAATCAGTACATGCCCTTGACACTTTCCTCAACTTCTTTCCATAACACCAGATATTAAATGAATGGCATCACTACTATCAAAATCTAGGAATCAAAGAAAATATATATGGTGTCTTCCTTTAGATTCTTCATGCCCTTGAATGCTTGATTTCACATTTTTTACTGTTGTGAATTTCCATGGCACCCCATGTTTAGTATTTACATAATAAGTAATTTATCCTCCAATATTATTTGTTTTGCTTTTTGCATAAGGAAGGAAAGACCAGCAACCATGTTTCAATGTCCACCTGTTTCTGTCACCATTATTTTGACTCACGCCATCTTCTGTGTTGTCCCTCGAAAGGGAAGATCTTTTAATTCTCCAATCTTTTCCCACTTGTTTTATAGATTCCTGAAATGAAGCTCTAGAAGAAACCTTGGACTCATTCTTCACTTTACCCTTCTTCATCCAATCAAGAGAAATAGGAAAGAACAACTTCAGGAGGAAGGTTTCACTGTCCATGCTTTCAACCCGCAATATCTGACCAGGTCTACTGTTTCCTTTGGTTTTCTTCTTCTTGTTTAGGCTTTTAGCTTGAGCTTTACTGCCACTACTTTGCATGTGTGTGTGGTTAAGGGAAGTTTCATTTTGATGCGGTTTTTCTGGTTCCAGCACATGCTTCTCATGAACCACCATGTCTTGGAAAGAGAGTTCATAGCCAGACTCAGGCATGTCTTGCACCATCTCCATAAGCTCCCTTTGTGCTTGTGCAATAGCTGTGCTTCTTGAAGCGTCAGAAATTGGTGAGTACTCAAACTTAATGTTTTTCCTTTGGTGTGTTTCTCTAAAGTGTGCTTCCTTGTTGAACCTTGCTTCATTGTCTTGTGGTTGATCACAATCATTAGAAAGTGTGGTGTTTGATGAACCCCAGAAACTGAATTCTCTGTCTCCTCCACTCTCATGAAGAGAGTGTGTTTGGTGGGTTGTGTTCATGGTTTGAGAGAGGAGTGAAGGGAGAAAGAAGAACATGATTTTGAATATAAGTGAAGGGGAAAACTTGTTTTGTCTTTTACATCCCCCTTTTTTTCTATGGAATTTGCAAGGAACAAGTCGTTGCCGTCTTGGATGGGAGTAAAAGTAAACGGTCAAAAGTGTTCATTTTCCACTCCATCCTTCACGTATTGTTTGAAAAACTCGATGGGTTTATTATATTTCACGTTATTTTAAAGTCCATGTTCTAGCTTCTACTCTGAATGAGATAAATTTTGCAAACGTTACTCAAATAAACATTTGGAAACTTCATTAAGTACTCGCTGGCTGACTCTGAATGATATACATTGAGCAACGTTTAGTGTTCATCAAGGCTTAAATTTGGCAGAGTCAAATTTCTAAAATCACGTTCTTAAAGAAAGTTTCTTAGAAAATCAGTTGCTTTTGACTGTGGTCAGTTTCTAAGAAAGTCAGGTTCTCAAAGTGTAGTAATAAACAATGAGGGAAAGGGACAAATATGTCATGGAGTTTCAAAGTATTGTGGTCCCCCATGACCTTCGCAGAAACTTGACTGTTGTCAGTTTAAACTTTAAATTAAAACTTAAAGTGGTATGTTGTGTTCAAGAGTAAACTCAGAACAAAAATGATAGATAATTTTACTTTGATGACACTTTTGCACACAATAAATAATAGTAGAAGAATAAAGGCTTATGAATTGTTTGCAATGACCATTCATAATATTGATCTATGCTAATCAATAGCTACTACAGTTGGTCAAATGATTGTATTTGTATGTAACTATATGATCAAATTTCAATACAATGCCCATGTTGGTAATTACAATGAAGGCACCTAACAAATCCAAACATGACCACATTTAGTTATTACTTGGAAAATGTTTGCTTTCCCGAAGGGGTTCCACGTTCAGAGCAAAATCACTTTAACACAACGCAAAAAACCAACTATGATAGGGTTGAAACAAAGAGCAATGATTGCAGAGGAGGAGAAAGGAAGAAAACACAGAAGAAGAGAAAGATAGTAATACAGGAAGAGAGAAAGAGAAGATACAGAATGTTGGAAGCCAACGGTGGGAACCAAATGCATTCAGAGATGAGGAAAAGATTACAATTGTTTTGTGTATATGTACCATAACTTGCAATTCCTATTTATAGGAATTGGCAGCTAGGTACAACAATAGAAACAACTAACTAACAGAGTTATAACAATGCCCCCTCCATGAGATAAACCTTGTCCTCAATGTTTGAATGCGGGATAGTGTTGCTTAAAATCGTAAAATAATTCTCAAGTAGCATCTTCAGGCAACTGATGTTTCTATTTGACCAAGATTTTCGTGACCGGCAAAACCCTTCTTTTGACAATGATTCTATCAAGAATTGCTTCAGGTTCCTTATCGAAGGTTGTATCTTGCAACTTGTTGGGAAGAGATGTGGCAGTAGCGGTTCCCACATGTTTCTTCAATTGGGAAACATGAAAAACGTTGTGCATGCGTGATGTCGATGGAAGTGCTAACTTGTAGGCAACTATCCCCACCTTGTCCGTCAGCTGAAAAGGTCCGCAAAACTTTGAGGAAAGCTTCATATTAGGACGTTGAGCGACTGAGATTTGCCTATAAGGGTGAAGTTTAACATAGACAAAGTCCCCTATGTTAAATGTTCTGTCTGTTCTTCGTTTGTCGGTACTTCGCTTCATTCGATGTTGAGCTCTTTGAAGATGAAATTTGAGAACTTTGAGCATTTCTTCTCTTTTAACCAAGCTGTGGTCCACCAAGTCTATTTTGGATTCAACTGGTAAATAAGGAAGGGCAATAGGGGGTGGCTGCCCAAATACTATTTCGTACGGGGTAGTGTTTATAGCATAATGATAGTTAGTATTGTACCACCATTCGGCTATAGGTAGCCATTTACTCCACTGGTATGGGGTGTTAGAACACATGCACCGTAAATAGGTTTCAAGACAACGGGAACGACCTTGGTCTGGCCGTTAGTTTAAGGGTGGTAGCTTAAGGATAATTGAACTTGGACTCCATGAACCGCCATAAGCTCTTGCCAGAACGTACTAATAAAGATGGAGTTTCTGTCACTGGTTATGGTGTTGGGAAAACCATGCAGCTTGAAAATATTATCTAGAAATGTTTGAGCCACATCTTTTGTTGTGTAAGGGTGATGTAGAGCCATAACGTGAGCAGCCTTGCTTAGTCTATCGACTACCACAAATATAACCTTGTCAAAAGAGTTAGGCAACCCTTCTGTAAAATCCATAGATATATCCTGCCATACGTGTCCTGGAATGGGCAGTGGCTGTAACTACCCGCGTCTGGAACAGTTTCATATTTTGAGCGTTGACAGGTGGAGCACTGCTTAATACAATCCTTGACGTTTTTACTAATACCTTTCGAATAAAAAATGGCTTTTACCCTGTGCAAAGTGGCGTTGATTCCTGAATGATCGCCAGTTGGAGAAGAATGGAGCCACTTTAAGATGTCTTGGCGCAGGTCAATAGTATTGCCTATGACCAATAGTGTGGATGAGAATCAGGATTGACTTGTAATTCCTGGACTAGGTGTCTTGAATTAACATCATTTAAGTAAGCATGATGTATTTTCTGAAGCATATCCGGCTGGAATTGATGGACCACCAACTGGGCGCATTCTATATTAGAGCGTCGTGATAGAACATCCACAAGGTTTTCCTTTCCCAACTTATATTTGATGAAAAAATCAAATTCCATCAATTTGACCAACCATTTTTGTTGAAATACCGTGGTTAGCCGCTGATCAAGGAGATACTTGGCTGTAGTGATCAGTGCGGACTATAAACTTGGCTGGTAATAAGTAATGACGCCATTTTTGCACAGCAGAAACTACTGTCAGTAATTCTTTTTCATAAGTAGATAAGGCATGCTGCTGTGTGCTTAGGACCCTACTGATAAAGGGTGGTGTTCTTGCATTAGGACAGCTCCTATACCTGAACCCGAAGCATCAACTTCTAGGACAAACTGCTTACCAAAGCTAGGTAAAGAAAGCACCGAAGCTTTAATCATGGCTTGTTTTCATTGTTGGAAAGAATTCGCTGCTGCATTTGTCCACACAAATGCATCTTTCTTTAGAAGGTCTGTCAATAGTTTTGCTAAGCAGCCAAAGCCCCTAATGAACCGGCGATAATATCCAGATAGACCAAGAAAACCTCAAAGCTGTTTAACCGAAGTGGGGACTGGCCAATTGTAGATGGCTTATATTTTGGATGGATCTGTAAAAACCCCTTCCTTAGATATGAAATGACCGAGATATTCAACTCTATCCACTGCAAAAAAAACACTTGGACAATTTTGCATATAAAGAGTGAGCGCGTAAAGTAAGAAAGACTTGTTGCAAGTGATGAAGGTGGTCTTCCAAGGTATTGTTATAAATTAGTATATCATAAAAAGAACCAGTATAAACTTCCTTAAGAACGGTTGAAAGACCGAATTCATGAGGGATTGAAAGGTTGATGGCGCATTTGTGAGGCCAAATGGCATGACTATGTATTCATAGTTGCCAACATACCTTTTGAAGTCTGTTTTATGGATATCATCAGGAGCATCCGAACTTGGTTATAACCTGCCCGCAAATCAATCTTTGAAAATATAGAGGAGCCATGTAATTCGTCCAAGAGGTCATCCATAAGAGGAATAGGAAATTTATTTTTCATTGTACTCTTGTTTAGGTCGCGACAGTTGACACATAGGCTTCATGTGCCATCTTTTTTTCCTACTAAGACTACCGGGCTGGCATAAGGACTGTTGCTATGCTGGATTATTCCACTATGAAGATAATCCTACATCAGGTGATCAATAATATCATTTTGAGATTTAGAATACGGGTAGGGCCGCTTGTTAACAGGATTGGCACCTTGTAGTAAAGGGATTGTGTGATCAAATCCCGGTCTGAAAGGTGGCAAAGCTGTTCGCAGCTGAAAAATATCCTCAAAGTCTCTTAACAATTGTTGAATAGGTAAGGGAATAGGAGGAGAGTTGGCCTTTACAGTTAGAGAATCTGTCAATCGCCCATTTTTCACAAAACCCGTTACCACAGTCCAAGAAACCATGTTCTTAACCAGCAATCTCCTTAAATACCCTGCAAGCCTCATCCAATCTATATGCTCTAGAGTAAGCCACAACCATAACCATTAATGTCCAAGACACGACATTTATCTCTGGTATCCAACACAACACAGAACACGACAAATCGGGTTCACCACATTTCCCATAAGCGTCAATTCAAGCGTTGTTAAGAATCAAGTTCCACTCCATTCCAGCTAAAACTGCCACCCATGGACCTCACGCAACCATTAAGCGTTACCCAAACAAACGCAGGTTCCAACTACGCTAACAAGTGTCAACTAGTGTAACACCAAAACGTTACGACCGTGAGCTTAACGAAGCTTCGTGAAGCCCATGGCGCGTGAAGCCGGAGATTAGCGAGTTATAACTTACGACGTTCCGTTGAGGCATTTTATCGAACAGGTTACAAGCCTTCTCGAGAAGGCCCATTTTCGAGTCGAACGATATTAGTGTGTTCCACGAACTAGTGGACTTGTTGGGAAGATTGTCGAAGACCCTCGATTAAATTTTCTTCGCAGCCGCATTTTGAATACGCTTCAATAAGACCGTTGACGAGGAAGGCGCGGTTGTAATGAGGTGACCGACACGGCATTTGCGAGTTTCAATAAGAAACGAACACTTTTCGACGGAGGAAAGAACATTGTTGGGGAGAATAGTCATGTTGCTTTTTCAGAATCAAATTCTGGGTCTTCCAATAAGGTTTCGTTAAAGGGTCTTTCTATGAATGGGTAGATATGGGTTCGTTCAAAAAGTGGTGGGTGACCTTTGTTTCCTCGATTCTTCACCCTTCGCGAAGTTATTGGACTCTTGCGTTCGGTCAAAGTCTGGAATTGACGCGCGTTGCGTTCATGGTCGAATCATTAAGACACAGTTTTCATCTGAAATCTTCATTCAGAATAAGCTCGTTGACGCATATGGAAAATGCGGTTGTTTTGAGGACGCACGCAAGGTGTTTGTTCGTATGCCGCTGAGGAACACTTTCAGTTATAATGCGATTTTAACCGTTTTGACGAAGTTTAGTAAACTTGACGAGGCTCTGAACGTTTTTAAGTCGATTCCCGAGCCTGACCAGTGCTCATGGAATGCTATGGTGTCGGGTTTTGCACAACATGATCGATTTGAGGAAGCATTGAAGTTCTTTGTTGATATGCATAGTGAGGACTTTGTGGTTAATGAGTATTCGTTTGGGAGTGCTCTTAGTGCTTGTGCAGGGTTGACAGATTTGAATATGGGAGTTCAAATCCATGCTTTGATATCAAAGTCTCGTTACTTACTAGATGTTTATATGGGTTCTGCTCTTGTTGATATGTACTCCAAGTGTGGAGTGGTGGCTTGTGCTCAAAGGGCTTTTGATGAAATGGTTATCAGGAGTATAGTTTCTTGGAACAGTTTGATTACGTGTTATGAGCAAAATGGGCCTGCGGGAAAAGCTCTGGAGATTTTTGTTCGGATGATGGATAATGGGGTTGAACCTGATGAGGTAACTCTGGCCAGTGTGGTCAGTGCGTGTGCGAGCTTGTCAGCAATCAGGGAAGGTTTGCAAATTCATGCTCGTGTTATCAAACGGGATAAGTTTCGGAACGACCTTGTGTTAGGCAACGCATTAGTTGATATGTATGCAAAATGCAAAAGAGTTAGTGAAGCTCGATTAGTGTTTGATAGGATGCCAGTTAGGGATGTGGTGTCTGAAACATCCATGGTTAGTGGATATGCCAGGGCAGCCAGTGTGAAAGCAGCTAGGTTGATGTTTTCAAAGATGATGGAGAGGAATGTCGTGTCCTGGAATGCCCTTATTGCAGGTTACACACAAAATGGGGAGAACGAGGAGGCAGTTAGACTTTTCCTCCTCCTGAAGAGGGAATCTGTCTGGCCAACCCATTACACCTTTGGGAATATACTTAATGCGTGTGCAAATCTTGCCGATCTGAAACTTGGTAGACAGGCTCACACTCACATTTTGAAGCATGGATTTTGGTTTCAGTCTGGAGAAGAATATGACATTTTTGTAGGGAATTCTCTGATTGACATGTACATGAAATGTGGAATGGTTGAAGATGGATGCTTGGTTTTTAAGCAAATGGTAGAAAAGGATATTGTCTCATGGAATGCCATGATAGTGGGGTATGCACAAAATGGCTATGGTACGGATGCCCTTGAAATTTTCAGGAAAATGCTGCTATCTGGAGAAAAACCAGATCATGTAACTATGATTGGAGTTCTATCTGCATGTAGCCATGCAGGACTTGTTGAAGAAGGACGGCGGTTCTTTCACTCGATGAGGGCTGAGTATGGTTTAGAACCGTTGAAGGACCATTTTACATGCATGATTGATTTACTAGGTCGGGCTGGTTGCCTTAATGAAGCAAACGATTTGATACAGACAATGCTGATGCAGCCTGATGCTGTTGTCTGGGGATCTCTACTTGCTGCTTGTAAGGTTCATGGAAACATTAAATTAGGGATGTATGTAGCAGAAAAGCTCATGGAAATTGATCCCTTAAACTCTGGACGTTATGTTCTTCTTTCAAATATGTATGCTGAACTTGGAAGATGGAAAGATGTGGTGAAAGTCCGGAAACTGATGAGGCAACAGGGAGTAGTTAAGCAACCTGGTTGCAGTTGGATTGAAATTCAGAGTCGTGTGCATGTTTTCATGGTGAAAGATAAAAGGCACCCTCGTAGGAAGGACATCCATTTAGTTCTGAAAATTCTCACAGAACAGATGAAGCGGGCTGGCTATGTGCCAGAAGCTGATGATGATGAGATTTGTGAGGAGGAAAGTGACTCTGAACCTGTCTTTCAATGTGAAATGGAACCGCAGGCTGATAGTGCAGTTGCATAAATAAAATTCCTCTGGCTAATTGTTGATTCCTTCAGTAGAAAGTAGGAAAATTTGGTATTATAGTTTGTAGATTTGACCAAGGCTCTTGAACTTTGAGACGAGGGTTCCTCCAGATTTTCTCGTAAGGGTTCAAGTTAAATGTATAGAAAGTAGGCTGTGGATGCAGAGCCTTGGATGTACCCCTCAGTTTGTTGTTACTACTTGCTTTAGTGCAACACTGATATATACTTTCAATCTGCTAACTTTCTTGCCGTTAATCACATTGATTTTGATCATATGCTCAGTTTGGTTGCCAAGGATATCAGCTCAAACCAGTTAAGTGTGATATTTACAAATGATGGCATCCTGTAAATAAGATGGGCTCTTGGCCATTACATTTAGAGATATAAAGCTACAATAAAAAGAAATGGTAGGTATATGTCAGTAGATCTCTGGCTGTAATTGCTTCATTGTGGTGTTAATATATATATATATATATATATATATATATAAAGATGTGTATTTAATACTAGGATTGTAGAGTTGTAATTGAAATTAAGATTTTAGAGAGAGCCTGGTGAAGTGTTCATACTTCAGTTACTGCGTGACCCTATTTTCATTGCAGGAGTTGCTACATAAAATACTAAGTTTTCTATATTCCAGTGTATCATGATCATCAAAATTCAAACTTCATAAAAGCATATTATTATAATAGAAAAAAAATCGTCTAATAAAGACGGCTGAAACTCTAGAATCCCTTTTACTATTTTTGGGAACAAGTCTGGTGAATTAGGGAGGCAACAAGCATGTATTGAAAAAGAAAATTAGGAGGGAAGAGGAATGAAGTAGTGCTAGGAAACAGAAACCAACAAAATATAATCTTCTATTCTCTACATTTTTTGTTTGTAGATATGAAAACTTTCTTCCTATCTGCAGATTAATCCCAGACATGTGAAACTCGATTGTGAGAGTCATCATGCTTTAAGGATGACTCCTTGAGAGCATCGGTACCTAAGAATTGCATAAGAAATGAACATGGAAACCAGGATGAAGCCCATCATCAACCCAACATTCTTCCTTCTACTATTCTCCCCTCCTAGCTCTGCTTCTTTAAGTATATCCTCTCCTCTCACCATGCATGCGCCGAACAAGTACTCGAAGCACTTTTTTGAGTTGGAGAACTCATGTATTAGAAACCCTTCAAAGGGATACTTAAATGGAGATATATAATGCATAAAAATCCAGTAACTTGGAATTTCATGTTTTGATACGAAGTAGCCAGAGAACAACAGAAACGAACCAATGACACCAGCGATCATTAAATTCCCAACAATGAAATTGGGCACCAGAGCACTGAAACACACCACAACCGAATTTGCAGTATAAAGAATTAGCCAAATTAGCATCAAAAAGTACAAAAATGCCGAGAAATTCCTGTTGAGACCAATAAGCCAGTACAAAGGCATTGCGAATAAAATAGCTAGTATGAGCAAAAATGGTAGGTAAACTAGGCCATTCGCGATAGTATAGGATGAAACTCTGTAACTTCCACTAGAAGTTTCTTTCATTCGAATATCCCTTTCTTGCAGAAAAATTGGTAGAGCTTCGGTGGTGCTTGATAGCATAAACGTTAAAATGAAAGCAAATAGACCCACTCTTTCTTCTGCTCCCACTAGACCATCCTTGAGATTACAAAAGACTGAGCCCCAAACCAGTCCAGAAACCAACATTTGAATTGACCTGTATGCAAAGAGTTCCTTTGTGCGAAGGATGTTTTTAGAGAATCTATGAATGAGAATCATAGTTTCTCTCAATCCAGAATTAGCAAAATCACAAGTGATATCCATTCCTATACTAATGACTTCTACATCAATTACCTTGGATTGTTGAAAGAGCTGTTGCAAAGTAAACTTACCACTTCCACTCTCCCCACATTTGTTCTGTTGCATTGTCCTTGGTAATTGCCACTACAGTTCTAGCATAAACTGTTGAAAAAAATACACATAACTTTTCCATGTATTCAGATATGTGAAAGTGAAATAAAAAACGAAATAAAGACCGAATAATTGGACACACCAATTGATAACGGAGTTCGGCCAAAATAGTTTCTCTCAATCCAGAATTAGCAAAATCACAAGTGATATCCATTCTTATACTAATGACTTCTACATCAATTACCTTGGATTGTTGAAAGAGTTGTTGCAAAGTAAACTTACCACTTCCACTCTCACCACATTTGTTCTGTTGCATTGTCCTTGGTAATTGCCACGACAATTCTAGCATAAACTTTTGGAAAAAATACACAGAACTTTTCCATGTAGTCAGATCTGTGAAAGTAAAATAAAAAAACGAAATAAAGACCGAATAATTGGACACACCAATTGATAACGGAGTTCGGCCAAAATTGCCTACGTCTCCGGACTACTGCAGATATTTTACTGGGAGAAAAGAAAATACACAGGTGTTTACAAAGCACTCTCAAAACACTCGCAACCCTCAACCCAATTACACCCAAAAGCTAGATTATTTTCTTTCTGCTTCTTGCTGGCTAACTCTTGTAATAGTTGCTTGGGAATTGGATGATCCAAATGAGTGAAGTGAAAGAGCATTTTATAGCAAAAATTGGTTCTTGTGCATTTAAGGCTTTCCGTGTTTTCTTGTCTCCAACCACTTGCCAACCAACCACTTGTCACCTTTTTTTGACTTTTCAAACACCAACAATCTCCCACTTGAGGACTGATTTCAATCTGTCCTCACACCTTGATTAATGCAGTAGTCTTCTCTGGTCTGCTACTCTTGCAAACCAACTGAAGTTGAGCACAACTTCAATTTGTCAATGGTCACCACCTTCGTTAGCATATCTGCTGGGTTCTTGCTTCCTACAATCTTCTTCAATGTTAACACCTCATCCTCAAGTAGAGATCTGATGAAATGATAACGAATATCAATGTGCTTGGTTCTGGAGTGAAATGTTGAATTCTTTGCCAGATGTATTGCACTCTGACTATCACTATGCAAAACACTCCCTTCTTGAGTGAATCCCAGCTCTGCTAACAGTCCTTGAAGCCATATCAATTCTTTACTGGCTTCTGTCACTGCTACATACTCAGCCTCTGTAGTGGATAAAACAACAATTTTTTGTATCCGTGACATCCAACTAACAACTGTAGTACCAACCGTGAAAACATAACCGGTGGTGCTTCTTCGATGATCAACTTCACCTCCAAAGTCTGCATCTACGTAGCCCTGTAATCTTAGATTTCATTTTCCAAAACACAGACATTTTCTATTGTTCCTCGTAGATATCTCAGAATCCACTTGACGGCTTCCCAGTGAGCCTTTCCTGGATTTGCCATAAACCTGCTCACAACTCCTACTGCATGGCCAATGTCTGGCCTTGTACAGACCATTGTGTACATCAAACTTCCAATGGCTGAAGCATAGAGAACCTTATCCATAATTTCTTCTTCTTCCTTTGTTTGAGGAGACTGATTCTTGGATAGACGAAAATGACTGGCCAAAGGTGTACTGACTGGTTTGGCCTTGTCCATGTTAATCTTTGCAAAACACGGTTGATGTACTCCTCTTGAGATAACTGCAAAACTCCTTTTTGCTTATCTCTCATGATTTGCATTCCAAGAATCTTCTTTGTTGGTCCTAAGTCCTTCATGTCAAATTCCTTTGACAACTGCATCTTTAAATTTCTGATATCCCTCATATTTGAACCTGCTACTAACATGTCATCAACATAAAGTAGCAATATGATATAGCTGGACTTATACCTCTTGAAGAAACAACAGTGATCGGCATTGCACTTCTGGAAACCTTCCTTGTGCATGAAGCTTTCAAACTTCCTGTACCATTATCTTGGAGCTTGTTTCAGACCGTACAAGCTCTTCTTCAATTTGCACACCATATCCTTCTTTCCTTCTGAAAATCCTTTAGGCTGGTGCATGTAGATCTCCTAATCTAAGTCTCCGTGGAGAAATGTAGTCTTTACATCTAATTGCTCTAGGTAGAGTTCTTCACTAGCCACAATACTTAACACTGTTCTAATAGTATTGAACTTTACGACTGGAGCAAAGATTTCAGTGTAGTCAACTCCTTCTTTCTGCTGAAATCCTTTGACAACTAGTCGGACTTTGTATCTCTTGGAATCATCATGGTCTTCCTTCACCCGATACACCCATTTGTTGTGAAGTGTTTTCTTCCCCATAGGTAACTTGACTAGTTCTCATGTCTGATTGGAGATCAGAGACTTCATCTCTTCTTTCATGGCAAACTCCCACTTGCTAGCATCTGTGGTTTGACAAGCTTCTATATAATCTTCGGGCTCCCCTCCATCAGTCAGCAACATGTAGTCCATGTATCCCCTGTTTGGCACATGAGGTCTAAAGGACCTTCTCAATACAGGAGTTGGAGTAAGAGGTTCTGGTTGCACATCACCTTCTTCAATTGATTCCTCTGACTGAGGACTCCTCACTATAGGATTTTCTGGGACATCTTCCACTTCTGCAAAAACTGGCCCACTCGATTTTAAATTGCTAATACCTGTTTTATGCATGTCCTTGTACAACACTCTTTCATTGAAGATTACATCTCTGCTGCAGATCATCTTTTTGTTTTCATCATCCCATATGCGGTAGCCATACTCATCTTCACCATAACCAATGAAAGTGCATTTCTTTGATTTTGGGTCAAGTTTGTTTCTACTTTGATCACTGATATGGACATATGCTACACAGCCGAAAACTCTAAGATGTGAGAGTTTTACCTCTTTTCCGCTCCATACCTCTTCTGGTATTCCGTGCTCCAATGGTACCGATGGACTTCGGTTGATCAAGTAAGCTGCTGTGTTGACTACTTCTGCCCAGAACTGCTTTGGTAAGTCTGACTGTACACGCAAGCTTCTGACTCTTTCAGTCAACGTTTGATTCATACGCTCAACTACACCATTGTGTTGAGGCGTACCAGACACGGTCCTCTCCATTCTGATTTTTTGCTCATAGTAAAACTTCTTGAATCTGGTGTCTACATATTCACCACCATTGTCGGATCTGAGCTTCTTAATCTTCAATCCTGTTTCATTTTCTACCATAGCTTTCCAAATCTTGAAAGCTTCAAATACTTCTAACTTATGTTTCAGAAAGTAAACTCATACCTTTCTGGAGTGATCATCGATAAATGTTACGAAGTATTGCTTCCCACCAACAGATGGGACAGTCGTTGGGCCCCAAACATCAGAGTGGACGGGCTCAAGTCTATCTTTCTTTGGAGTTCTTCTATTTGTCTAAAAGCTAACTCTCTTCTGCTTTCCAAGTATGCAGTCTTCACACATGTCAATTTCTACTGACTGAAGACCTGGTAGTTTTCCTTTTGAGTGCATGATTTTCATCCCCTTTTCACTCATATGCCCAAGTCTTTGGTGCCATAGATTGGAATTTTCATTTGCTGCAACTGCAATCAAATGGCATGCTCCTGCAGTCTTGTAAAGAGTACCACTCTTTTTGCCTCGAGCAATTGTCATCGCACCCTTTGAGATCTTCCAATCATCACTGTGGAAGATTGTTGTGTAACCTTTACTGGCTAACTGACTCACTGAGATTAAGTTCTTCGTTAGGTCGGGAATATGTCTGACATTTTTCAATTCTTATATAGACCCGTTCAACTTAATTTTTACTGTACCTTTACCTACAATCTCACACGATTGCTCATTACCAAGGTAAACTTTACCGAGATTTCCGGGAACATAATTCTCGAACAGTTGCTTTTGTGAGGTAGCATGGAAAGATGCTCCAGAGTCTAACACCCAAGACTCCTCCTTGCTTTCTAAAGAGCATATCAACACATCATCTTTCCTTGAGGTAGAGGCAACGTTTGCCTCGTCCTTCGCTTCTTGATTCTTTCGTGCATTCTTGCACTGATTTTTGTAATGTCCGGTCTTCCCACAATTCCAACACTCGATTTGCTTCGAGTTTTGGGAACTACGATGATTTCTGGACTTGGATCGTTTGCCCTTTGATTTTCCGCATCCGCTTTCTTTGGTTGAACTTCTTCCTCTTGACTTTGTATGCAATACTGAAGAGGTTGATGATTCTCCCGAATCCCTCCGCCGGATCTCTTCACTGAGAACCAAATTACGAACATCATCAAATTTTAACTTATTGCTTCCCGATGAGCTACTCACAGCTGTGACAGTAGCATTCCAACTTTCTGGTAAAGAAGACAAAAGTATCAAAGCTTGTACTTCATCATCGAACTCGATCCCAACTGAACTCAACTGAGTTGTAACAGTATTGAGTTCATTGATATGTTGCGTCGTTGAAGCGCCTTCAGACATCCGTAGATTGAATAACCGCCTCATCAAATGAACTTTGTTTGAGGCTGATGGTTTCTCGTACATACTGGAAAGAGTATCCATAAGACCTGTTGTTGTCTTTTCTTTTGCAATGTTAAAAGCAACATTACGGGATAACGTCAGTCGAATGGCTCCAAGGGCCTTTCTGTCGAGAAGAGTCCATTCCTCCTCTTTCATACCCTCTGATTTCTTTCCTGTGAGTGGTTCGTACATATCCTTCTAATATAGGTAATCCTCGATCTGCATCTTCCAGAACCCAAAGTCTGCACCATCGAACTTCTCGATTTTCACCTTTCCTTCATCTGCAGCCATCACTCCAACTCGGATCTGACTTTTCTGGATCGTTTCTAACAATTTCTGTGAACTACCGTGTTTCAGAACACGTCTGTAGATAATTTTGTAGCACCGACAAAATTTTTACTATTCATAGAATAGTAAATTCACTATTCATATGAATAGTGTCACCACAAAAATTACAGAGTTAATAGCTCTGATACCAGTTGTTGGAAAAAATACACAGAATTTTTCTATGTAGTTAGATCTGTGAAAGTAAAATAAAAAACAAAATAAAGACCGAATAATTGGACACACCAATTGATAACGGAGTTTGGCCAAAATTGTCTACGTCTCCGGACTACTACAGATATTTTACTGGGAGAAAAGAAAATACACAGGTGTTTACAAAGTACTCTCAAAACACTCGCAACCCTCAACCCAATTACACCCAGAAGCTAGATTATTTTCTTTCTGTTTCTTGCTGGCTAACTCTTATAATGGTTGTTTGGGAATTGGATGATCCAAATGAGTGAAGTGAAAGAACAGTTTATAGCAAAAATTGGTTCTTGTTTAATTAAGGCTTTATGTATTTTCTTGTCTCCAACCACTTGCCACCTTTTTTTGACTTTTCAAACACCAACATAAACTGCTGACATTTTTGTTGTTGCTGAATGGTCTCAATGGAATCAATGGCAAACTCAACCACACTAACATGAAGAGGAAGCTCTAAACCCACTAGCCTTAGATTTACACCCAGCAAATCCATAGTGCCATGGTGCAACACAATACCATTAGACAATAACAGTATTGTATTGAACAACTTAACTATTCTGTACTCGGGTTGGTGGATACTTAGGATTATAGTTTGTCCCCTAGATTCTGCCATGAGTTTAAGCATATCAATTATTTGCAAAGCTGATGTACTGTCAAGCCCTGAAGTTGGTTCATCCAAAATCAACACTTTTGGATCATGTATGATTTCAACACCAATGGAAACTCGGCGCCTCTCACCATCAGATATGCCACGGACCCTGTCATCTCCAATTCTAGTCCTAGCAATATGGCTAACACCAAGCTCTAGAATCAGTGACTTGACCCTGGAGCATAGTTGTTCTTGAGGAAGACACAACCTTAGCTTTGCACTAAACATTATGGTTTCTTCAACCGTAAGTAAGGGAAACAAAGTATCCTTTTGTGTAACATATCCTGAATTTTTTTTGAACTGAGCTTTATCCACAGGTTCTTGATTCACCAAGATACACCCACTTTGTGAACTAGCTTTACCAGCTAGGATCTTAAGAAGGGATGATTTTCCAGCCCCACTTGGCCCAACAATTGCCAGAATTTCCCTTGGCTTTGCTATGCAATTCACATTCTTGAGGACATGCCTAACTCCACTGCATGATCTTTCTTCAGTTTTTGCTTCATCTTGTGCTACATGACCATCTTCTTCCCTAATCAATTGTGGAGTGCTGCTGATGATTATAGAAGGTTGGTCTGTTGCCTTTGTACGGATCATGTAGTTGATGTCTATTCCCTCAACCTCACACCCCTGTTTCTTCATTGAGTACGTTCTTTGCTCTCTTTTTTCCCTCTTCCACTATCCCGTTTCTATTCTACTCGCGTCTTATTACAAACCCTTTTGGTTGTTTTGCTCTATATTTTCCATATTAGTTTTTGAACACTGAATCCACAGTTTTGGCCTCAACCACTGACTGTAAAACATGAGTGGTTCGAAGGGATTTCACCGCAAAGACATTGAGATCCTCAAACTTTGTTTTCATAGTTCACGTGCACTTGCTCTGGCTAGTGCATGGTGAATAAAATTATAAAGTGGAATGGTTCACGTGGACATTCTTTGACTCTCCTCGTTTAGAAAGATTGCAAGACAAACATCTTCAGTGGCCAACTAGAACAATAAAAACAAATATATATATATATATATATATATATATATATATATATATATATATATATATGAAATTGAGTTTAATTTTCGTTTGGTAAGGTTGAATAAATTGTAAGATTTTTTTTTTGTTTGACGTTTTTCGGGACATTGTACTAATTCTCTCATTCTTTCCGCCCTTGTTTGCATTTATGGACGTACTATAGTAAAGAAAAATGAGGGAGGGTGCAACTGTTTGCATATGCTGGTTTGAATAGATTTAAGAAAAAAGGAGAGGGGAAAGTTTTAACATATCCACCCTTTCTAAATGCATATAATTGAGGTGAAATTGTCATTTTATCTTTTCTTTTATATGATGATTTTGCAGAGACAATATAGAATCTCTATTCTGCAACAAAGTGACACATACCAAAGATCATGTGTAATTACACGGTCAAATTGTCTATTACAGTGTGCAATGTGAGACTGTACTACAGTATGCACATTAAACACAGTGACATTGCACTGTTGAGAAATTGAATATTATTTCGTGAGGAAAGGGTTCTTCGTCCATAAATATACTCATTCCCACAAGTAAAGGTTACGGTTTCCTTCTTTCTCTATTCCCATCCCCATTTCCAGTTTCAACAAGTTCTTCCGTCCAAGTGAAGGAAGGATCGAAAAAGATCGGTTATAGTTTATGTTTTTCCAACTGCATTTGTCATTCTTCCAATTGTATTTGTATCTGCAGTTATTGTTGTCCTTCCAACTAAAGGAAGGAAAGCTATAATCAAACCTTCCATCGCATCTTCAACAAGCTTAGGAGTCCAAGTAAGTAAATTGGTTAAGTGCAGTATTGGGGAGAGGATTAGAGGATCATATTCAATTATGTAACAAACCATAATTGAATATTTTTTTCTCATAATAGATTAACAGGCATGGGGTAATCAATTATATTTGACCTATAATCGAACATCAAGTGTTGCATAATTAAATATGGGCTTTGCATAATCGATTATGTAGTGGTTCATATTTGATATTAATTTTAAAATTATGCACTTATGTAATATAGGAAGGGGATTGTTACATCATGATGTAATATAGGAAGGGGATTGTTACATCAGCTCATTTTTAAGTTAGATTTCACAAATTTGATGTTAGATTTGGGAGATTATAGGTTGGATTGGATAAATTTCAAGTTAAATTTCAAAGCTTATAAATTTGATTTGAAAGATTTGTAATAAGATATTCAAAATTAGAACTTAGTTTCAGTATATTTTAAGTTAAATTTAAAATCTTTTAACTTGTATTTGAGAAAATTTGTGATTATATATGAAAAATTAAAAATTAGATTTGGCAAATTATAAGTTAGATTAGTTGATATGCAATTTGAAGTTCATATTAATTTTGAATTTTTATTTGTTACACTCCAAAAATAAAAACTTGAGAGTCATGAGAGATTATGAATAGTTAGTAGTAATATACCGTATAAATAATTATCAAGTTGGTGATTAATTTAAATTTAATAATTAATTTTTTTGGTATTTTATAAATTGTCTATATTAGGACATTAAATTTTGAAATAAAGTGAAAGTTAAAATTTTTTAGTGATAATAATTAATTAAAATATAATTAATTGTCAAATTAGTGCTTAATTTAGATCTAGGAATAAATTTTATTTTGGTATTTTATAAATTTTCTATATTAGGAAATTAAATTTTAAAATAAAAAAAGACATTATATTTTGTTTTAGTAATAATAATTAATTAAAATATAATTAATTACCAAATTGCTCTTTAGTTTAGATTTATGAATAATTTTTATTTTGGTATTTTATAAATGGTTTATACGATCGACATTAATGAGAAGAGGGTATATTTTTTTCTTAAAAAAATTTATTTTAAGTTAAAATATAATTTTTTATTTAGAACATACAGAATTAATGCAGTAATAATTTTTAATCAAGACTTTATTATTATTATTATTATTATTATTATTATTATAATATGATATAATTAATTAAAATAAAATATTCTTGTGTGCATAAGTCAAATATTTAAAGGGTTTGAATTATGTCTTCATTGTCATCAAGAGATAAAGATATGAGTCACAAAGTAGGAAAAAAAAAAGTAGTATAGGAGCCTGCACTAACCCCTCCTCCTAATTTTTCTCGTTTCCCTACTTTATTAGATCATGGTCGTCACTTTAGTAATGAAGTCAGATAAAAAATATTATGCAAATTATGTCTACAGGCAAATAGTGCAGTCAAAGATAATGTACTCCAACTTCTTTGTTATGGTTGGGATCGAATTCCCACATCATCTTTCTTTTTTAGAGGTTTGATAGATTTCTAACCACAACGGGTAATATTTATGAAGACTTGATAAAGGTCTTTTACACAAATTTAAAATTGATTTACTCGGAGGATCTAGTCATTGAGGTCTTATAAACGCATATCAAAATGAAGCTTGATGATTGACTAAATGTAACACATTTAAAATATCAAGGTTACTAGATTAATCTTACTGACATCCTGACGACTTGGGATACAATAGGGATAAGTCACTGACTGCGATGGTTAGACCGGAACTACAAGTTCGAACTTGTAGGAATGCTGGTAGTTTGACCGTAGAGAATAAACTTCTTCATTATGTCTTTGTTCATATGCTTAGACCTCGAAGATGCAATTATGCTCAAGTGTTACAAGATGATATATTTTTTATTTAATGCATAAAGAATCACATTCCAATTATTTTGTCTTATTATATCATTAGACATGTGAGAAAATGTAAGGTTAATCGTATGTCTCTATCTTATAGTCTTCTAATCACTCGTATTCTACTACAATGTGACTTGGACTTGATTTTACAATCAAGTCACTCCCTCATACAGACAATGAGATCTAACGAGACATCTTTAAACAAGTTGAATATAATAAATGTTAATGGGGGCATGAAAACATGACAGAGGTCAACATGTCCAACAACCTGACCTTGAGCATGATCACCCTTCTAGTGAAGATGAAGATGTGTCGTTTAACATAGACAGCAGAAGCACTAGTTCAAGGAAAACAAGTATATTCTCCTCCTTAGCAAGCTGATACCATAAATTTAATATGGAGAGATATTTAAGATATGCAAAGATGTATGAGTAGAATTGAAGTGAATGTTTAGAATAATTATTAGAGTCTACATCGAGAGATTAATTATGTGCATTACAAAATCGGAATAAATTGATTGGCTTTGTGAGAGTCTTGAATAGTCGTCTCATTCATGTTATTTAAGTTTTTTTAGATGACTTTTTTTTTTTAACTTGGATGACTATACTCTTTTTTTGTAGTTTAGACTACCATCATTTTTTTTTGTTGGATGACTGTAATGATTAATTAGATAATTGCATGTTTTATGACTATAATTTTATAAGTTATGAATCTAGTTTTCAGTTAAATTTGGATGACTTTGCACATGTTATATTCATGTTTTTTAGTTTATTTTTGTAAAATTTAAACATTTATGTGAAATCAAATTTTCACATATTTAATAAAAATTATAATTTTCAACCCACTTAATAAAGCCTAACAATTTAATTATTATATTTAATGTAAAATAAAAAAAATTAGGAAAATGTAAGACAAGTTATAAATTATTATTAAAATAATATAATATTCATTCAAAATATCAAAAGTTTAAATATATAATTTTATTACAACGAAAAATATTTTATAATTAATATATAAAATAATTTTAATTATACTTTATATATAACATAATATTATATTTAAATATTATGTACAAAATAAATTAATTAACATTCTTATATGTACTTATATCATAATTATCATTTCTACTTAGTTTATCCATTACAATATTAAAAAATCTCTTCAAATCTACTTTCTTTGTAATCCGCAATACACCTTAAAATCAACTCAAATCTTCATTTCAATCTAAACACAAGCTCAATTTTCGGAATAATCTAGTTCCTAATTACAGGAATTGTTATAATATATATATATATATATATATATATATATATATATATATATATATATATATATATATATATATGTTAGTATTAATATTTCTAAACAATTAAGATAATAAGAATAAAAATATGAATGTAATGAAATCTCTTAAATGTTGGATGCAGATAATCTTTTCTATTTTTTTTTCCTCTTATGTGATTGAAAACTTCATTTGTTTGCTTATTTGTATTTTCCATTATCAATACCACGGCTTTTATATTATGAACACTTGATATAATGGATACATTCTTCTCACAAAATATCCAACCGCATAACTTAAAAATATTAAATAAAAATAATTTTTTTAGTACACGTTAGATGTAAATTTTATCCCTGCTTTTGAAGATATCATATATTATAAGAATTATGTACACATAGACCTTATAATAGGTTAAGATGTTCTGTTAAAACAGACATAACATTCACATTATTTATTGTCGTATAATATCATTAAACAAATATTTTTATGTTTTAACATTATAATAGAAAATGATATTTTCACATTTTTTTATCAGATATATTCACTTTATATGCATTAATTTTCAACGTCTTATATATTTATATATTATATTTCATATATATATATATATATATATATATATATATATATATATATATATATATATAATGTGGAATCAATATGAATATAACTATTTTC